TGTCTTTATTAAATATTTTTATATGCCCAATGTCTTGCACAGTGTAAAGTGCCTAAGAAGTGTTTAGTGAGTGAATGAACAAATGATTGCATACATGCCATTTTCAACTTAGTCACTTATTTTGGAAAGGCTATTTAATATTAGATTAAAGATTTTAGACATCATTTATCATATGACGTAAACTGCTTAAAATATTTGAGGATTCTGAAGTGGGTATGTTAATTTTGTTAGCTAGTCTTTTTTCCCCTTTCGGTTGGATGACCATCACAAAATGTTGTGGCTGAACAGAGACCTTATAGATCATCTCATACTATTCCCCACTTGACAGATACAGAAAGGAGGAGTGTGAGGGTAGAAAACCAGTGAGTGGCACAAGTGAGACTCAGATTTACAATTTGGACTCTAACTCCAGTGTTCTTTCACTGGCGCAGACTGTTATAATAGTAGCATTAGTGATGATAACTATGCTATTATTCAAGTCCATATCCATAAAATTACTTGTTTTACCTTTATTTCATAGTTGGGGAAAATAAACGGTTAGCAAGCCTTGGCCACTTTTCCAAGGCACACAGCTAATATGGGGCAGAATTAGACTCATCAGATTTGTTTGTCCTAGAGCTCATTCTTGTCTCTTAACTCTCTGCTTTGTGTATAGTGCCTATAAAAACACTAGTACTAAAACCCAACATCTCCTCAGTCAGAGGCCAATGACTTTTTTTCTGCTTCACATTCTTGAATGACTTTTTTTTTTGGAAGTAGTAAAATGACAAATAGAAATATGCACAAGCCAGTTTAATACTTATTATAGGGACTAAAGCTTTCATTTATTATCTAAGCACTAACATTTTAAAATATTTTCCAGTTGAAATTTATTTTTATTTTTTTAAGAGACAAGGTCTTGATGTATTGCCTAGGTCTTGAGCTCCTGGGTTCAAGAAGTCCTCCCGCGCCTTCCTCCCAAAGTGATGGGTTTACAGGCATGAGCCGCCACGTCCAGCCTGAATTTTATTTTTGTTTTGTTGTTTTTTTGAAATTTTTTTTTTTATTTTAATAGTTTTAAGAGGTACAAATAGTTTCTAGTTTGGGCTTTAAGTATACCCACCACCCTAATCTGTGCACATTGTATCTGATAGGCAGTTTTTCCTGAAATTTACTTTGAATTACAACAGTTACACTCATGTAAGATTTTTGTTGAAGAGATTTTTTAAAACATATTTCTCCAACTATAATTCTTAAAGATAATATGTCAACCTTATATAAATTCTTGTCTCCTGTCCTATATGGACTAGTACCTATTTTAGTCTTACCTATATTTTTTAAAAAGGTATTTGCATGATCTAAACAATTAAGCTTGGGATTGCTCCTAAATTCTGACTACTGCTGGACTTCTTTTTTCATTACTGACTTCTTTCTCCACTTATATATGGGTTTACATAGGGATTTAAAAATTGTTTAAAATAAAGTCAGTAACGAAATGGAAAGTCTAGTAACAGTGAAGCATGGGCTGTGGCTCACTGAAGAAAAGAAGTTCCTCTCTCTTTTCATTCTGTTCTCAAAAACTAATATGTATCTTTAGTAAGTGTTCACAGAACAATTTAAAACTACTTCTATATAGTACATTAGAATTTATTTTAGTATTCCAAATGTAGTAATTCATTTTAATTCTTAATATGTTACTAAGTTGAGTTCTTGAGAAATAACTGTCTTTCAAGTACAGTTTTTAATGTAAACCTCACATGTGTTTAGCTGTCTGGTGACAATGAAGAATATCCTTGAAAGAGTTTTACAAAATACCTGTCTGAAATTCTTCAACGAATTCATAGTTGAACAAGAAAAAAGGTACCAACTGCGCCTGGATCCCCCAAACCAACCTAATTTTATGTTGTTTTTTAACAGCCATACTTTGTAGCACTCAGAAATGGAAATAAACCTACATGACTGGAAATAACCCATCATTTTGTCATGAACATTATACATTAAAACCTTTAATGGTCATAGCTATGGATGTAGAAATAAATGAAAAAAAACTTAAATCAATTTACTAAACCAAAACTTTTTTTTTCTTTCTTTTTTATTTTTCCAGTCAGGATCCTACTCTGATGCCAAGGCAGGAATGCAGTGGCACAATCACGGCTCACAGCAGCCTCCAATTCCTTGGCTCAAGCGATCCTCCTGGCTAATTTTTTCATTATTTATTTATTTATATATTTTGTAGAGACGTAGTCTAGTCTTGTTTTGTTGCCCAGGCTCGTCTCAAACACCTAGGCTCAAGCAGTCCTCCTACCTCTGCCTGCCACAGTACTGGGCTTACAGGCATGAGTCAGCACACTTGGCTGTCAGAACTCGTCATTAAGTACAAAATTATTTATAGGTTTTAATCCAAACATTCACCATTAGGAGATACTTTCTCAAGTCACATGTATTCAATTTTTGAATACATTTCTTAAGAATTAGGGTTTGAGATGGTGGCTTTTTGACCACATAACTAATAATAACATTAATTAGGAAAGTGTACCCATGCGTTTTTAAGTGTGAATTTTTATTCATTGCCTGGTTAATACATGAGGAGTTGGACAAAGCAAAGTGCTTCTCCAGGTTTTGTTATGAGTCCTTTTAAAATCCATAATAGGCAGTTTTTGAGAATTTTCTTTTGGAAGATGTGTCATCTGCTTTATTTTAATTTTTAATCTTTGTATTTTTAGGTTATATATACATGTATGTATCTAAGTATATATTCCTTATTGTATACCAAGTAGCATGAATTAAGAAATAGCTTTCTAATCAAAATTTACTATCTTGTGCTTGTATATTCTTATATAACTGTGTTAATGATAATTATATAGTCTGACATAAATAACCCTAATAGCTTATATCTCTCTTACAGATTTTATTAAACAAAGAAGAGCAGGACTGAATGAGTTCATTCAGAACCTAGTTAGGCATCCAGAACTTTATAACCAGTAAGTAATTTTTTTGTGTTCTAAAGGGACACTGGACCCAAACCTAAGCATACTGAATAAACCTCATGTAAATTTATTTGTTCTGTGAAATTTTATTCTATACATGTTTGCAAAATCTTCCTCAAGCATTTCCTCCCTGACGTTCTTATTTCTCTTTTCCTTTCATCAACTCATCTTAGTTTTCTTTTTGCACTTGCATTTGTATTATAGATTCGTCTTTAAATAAATTTTGATACAGTTAAAACATTTTGCTGATTATTCAATATTAAGTTTTATCCACGCCTTCAAAAAGTAAGAAAAAAGTATTTAAATACCTGTTATGTTCATTGGGAATATAAAGCTAAATGAGTGTTGTCATTACTACCTTCCAGAGACATAGGCTCCTAGTCTAGTGGAAGAGATATAAACATATAAACAAGCAATTGAAGCTGGCTAGTATTTTGATAGAGGTACGGAAGGTAACAGAGAAAGATGTAGCCAGCTTTTCTTGGGGAGGTCAAGGAAGGTTTCTTGAGACTTAAAGGATGTGTTATCATTCAAGAAAAAAAGACAGGAAATGCATTCCAGGCAAAGGGAGTAGTATATATAACAGAATACAAAAAGCTGTCAGGACACTTAAGTAGTAACATTTAATAGTCACTGGAACAGAGTAGATTTTCTGAAAGGAGATAAAGCCAAGGGAGTTGTCAGGGTTTGGGCACACGTGCCACCACTTCTTGCTCCACCTGGGGCAGTGTTCTCTTCTGTCAACCCACAGGAAGCCTGCAATCCTTCTCAACACAGAATTCCAGGCAACCGCATAAGACAAAGGTGCTTTCCCAGCTCTTTTGTGTCTGGTGCTAAGTTTAAACTTCCTTCTATAGGCCAGCAGCTCCCAATGAGGGGAGAAGGTGGGTCATATCAAAAATGTCTATGGAAACATTGGCAGATCTGTGGTTTGGTGTGTGTTTTCATTTTTGAGTCTGGTAGTTGGTTTATGGGTATTCATTACATTTACTGTGATTTGTAATTTAATAGGTGTTACAGCACTTACATTGTTTTGTATGTATAAAGTACAGTATGCTAAGAAGAAATAGGGGGATAAAGTAAAATATCTTGGGAACTTTTCAGTAGCTTACCTATTTGTATAAATGTAAAGGTTGCTTTCAACAGTGATGGAAACATGACACACTTTCACAGTCTTTCAAAATCACAACACTGAAGGACTGTAATTTTGAGCAGTTGTTCTAAAGACAGTGATTACCTTTTATATAGTTCTTTACAGTTCAGAGAAGGTGTCTGCTGTTCTGAACAAGCCCACTGACCTGCTTTTTTTTTTTTTTTTTTTGAGTTGGAGTCTCACTCTGTCACCCAGACCGGAGTGCAGTGGCCGCTCCCGGCCACCGCAGCCTCGACCTGCTGGGCTCCAGCGATCCTTCCGCCTCAGCCTTCCAAGTAACCAGAATTACAGGCATGCACTACCACGCCCAGCTGATTTTTTGATTTATTGTAGAGATGAGGTCTCGCTGCCCAGGCGGGTCTCGAACCCGCGGGCTCAGGCAATCCACTCACCTCAGCCTCCCAAAGGCGCAGGATTACAGGCTGAGCCACCGAGCCCGGCCTGACCTGCTTTTTAAATTTGACTAATTTAGCCAGGCATAGTGGCACATGTCTGTTATTCCAGCAGTTTGGCAGGCCAAGGTGGGAGGACTGCTTGAGGCCAGGAGTTCGAGACCAGCCTGGGCAACAAAGCGAGACCTTGTCTCTACAAAGAGTAGAAAAATTAACTGGGGATGGTAGCACACGCCTGTAGTCTCAGCTATTCAGGTGGCTGAGGCAGGAGGATCACTTGAGCTCAGCCTAATTGGAGGCTGAGTTGAGCCATGATTGTACCATTGCACTCCAGCCTGGGTGACAGAGTGAGACTCTTTTTCAATCAGTTTACCCAATTTAATTTACTAAAACTGGATCTCCTCTGACAGAGTCTTTTGGCCAGAGCTGTGGATTTCCCAAGGCTCACAGATAGGACAAGGGTCAGGGAGATCCCATACCTGAAGTAGCACCAAGATTAGCTAGTACAGTAAGAACAAATATTTTTCCATTGAGAGCATCTGGCAAGTGGCAAAAGAGCATGAAATTGGTAGGATCCTTGAACTCAAGAGATCCTTGTCTAGTCTGTTCCTCAGTAGAGTCTTTTTTTCTTGGAATTTGCATATTATTGACTTGTTTAAAATATAATTTGTGCTTGAGTTTGTCTCTTCCTCTGACAACTGGCATGGGATAAGTATACAATAAATGGTGGTGGTGGTGATTATTTCTCCTAGTATTTTTAAGTGTTACTCAGAACCTCTAACAACGTAAATGCTAAATATTCTTTCTGAATCTTGAAGTGCAGTATTATAAAGATGTTATAGTTGGCATGAAAATTCAACTAAAAGCAATTTGATGATTTTAAAATGCCGTTTCTAAAACATTATACTATAAAATAGACAATTCTTAAGTGTATATAGCTCAGTGGATTTTTATGTGCATATGCACCCTGTAACCACTCAAGATAAAGATATTTTCAGCACCCAAAAAATAGCAAAGAGTTTTTTAATCTTAATTTTTTAACTGACATTTTCTTTTTCATAAGATGTGACATTTCATATTTTCTGGGTCTTTTCTTTGTTAACGGAACTTTAATATTCATGTTCTTCATTTGAACATCAAGCTATTTTAAAATAATACAGATTTAAGAGAGCAAGAAGAGATACCAATTAACAAGTGTATCTTGAGTACTTAGTATGTGCCTATTATTACAGTTAAGGAAATGTACTTTAAAATAGCTTTACTTCAGTAAAGCTAATTTTTAAGAAGACTCTATTAAAATTAAATTTAAAAAGCATTTACAAACCGGAATAAAATGTTAGTATCTTTTTCATCTCTGGATGGAAAAGGGTTTTTTGAGCATATTGGCAGTGAATGATGTGCAGTAAGAACAAACGTCTTTCCATTGAGAGCCTCTGGCAAGTGGCAGAAGAGCGTGGAATTGGGTAGGATCCTTGAACTCAAGAGATCCTTGACTAGTCTGTTCCTCAGCAAAGAGTCTTTTATTATTTGGCTTTTATTATCACAAAGTAAAACAATAAAAATTTTGACTAATAAAAACTTTTAAACCCCCAAGTCATAAGTAAACTTGAAAACCAAAAATACAGAAAAAGATTACCATGATAAAGGACCCTAGATAAATATACTAATAGAAAGAACTCATGCAAACAATACACACTAAAGACACCAAAAGAAAAATGGACAAAGTACATGAACAGTTTACAAAAGTGGAGATTCAAATGGCTGATTGATTATCAGAATCTGAACATTTCCTTATGTATTTAAGAAATGAAATGGAAGCAAAATACCTTATCTATTGTAGTATGACATAGATAAATGGTAGATCAGGCCTGTACAGCTCAATGAATTGTGAAAAAGCACATACACCTGAATTGTCACCCTCCCAGGCCAAGAAATAGAATATTACCAATGCCTCTGATGCCCTGCCCACATACCTTCTTTCAACCTCCCTCCCTCAAGTAACTATTATCCTGATTTTTAGCAACATAGGTTAGTGTGCCCTGTTTTTGAACTTTATATTAACGGAATCTTATAATATGTATGTATTCTCTGTCTTATTTTGAACAATGTGAAAGTCATCCACGTTGTTTCATATAGCTGTAACTTTTTCATTTCAATTACTGTATAAATGCACTACAGTTTATTCATTCTACTGCTGATGGACATTAGAGTAGTTTTCATTTCCTGACTATTATAAATAATATTGCCATGAACAGACTTTGGGTGCACATATGCAAACATTTTAAATGTATCTTGGAATAGAATTTCTGGGTTTAGGGTATGTATGTGTTTCGCCTTAGTGGATAATGCCAAATAGTTTTTCAAAGTGATTGTACCAAATTTACACTTCTACCATTGGAGTATGAAATCACATTGCTTACCTCACCAAGTCTTTTCCATGTTAGCCATTCTAGTGAATGGGTAGTGATACCTTATTTTCACTTTAATTTGCATTTTACTTAATACTGAAAGTTGAGTACCTTTTCTTTAAAATACATTTTCACTTATCAAATTATCAAAGATGTTAATATAAAATGCAACATTTAATGCTAACCAAGGCTGGGAGAATCTGTAGGGTGTTCTCGGCTAGGAGGTTAAAAATTGGTACAACCTTCCTGGAAGTCAGTTTAACAAATTCTGTTTAATATCATAAAATAGTATAATTTAGACCAGTAATTTTATTTTTAAAAACCTATTCTTAAAATCCTCAATGCAGTTTTAATAGAAATTGTCAATTGCAGCATTATTTATAGTAAAGAAAGTTGTAAAGTAAAAAATTGGAAGCCATTTATATATCCTAAGGTTGAAGGATCATTGAGTAACCTTTAATGCATCCATATTATATACGTCATACATCTGTCAAAAATGACTGTTTTCAAAGGGTTTTTAATGACATGGGGAAATACTTATGATGTAATTTTTAAGTGAAAAACAGGTAAACATGTAAGTATAATGTGATCTTAATTGTGCAGAGAAAAAACTGAAATAAAATATGCCAAAATGTTAATAGTAGTTGTCCTGTGTAGTAAGATTTTAAATTCCCTCCCCCACCTCTTCAAAGATTTTTGGGCTACACTTCACCATTTTAACGTTTTTGTAGGTTTTTTTTGAGTTGGAGTCTCA